ATTATTCTTGATTGTATGATATTGTTTGTCGATCACCCATAGGAAGAGACTGATTCACTCCATGCAAACATGTGTCACATGGCGAATCTGATTCAAAGATTCCACCTGGTCCGACCCATGAATCAACTCATGAGTCCACCCTGAAGCGACCCATGAGTCGTCGATGTACCCACGACTCCCGCTCCGGTGTCGCACCACCACCACCGCACCACTCCGAAGCCACCAGTGGCCGTGCGGCACTCAGGTGGGCTCCGAGTGGGCCTCGCGGATCACTGAGTTCGTGGCCGGCTTCAACGCCTTCCGCGCGGCCGGGAGGGGGACAGGGTGAGGACTGGCACGGGGAGGAGGGCGACTGAGGATGGAGGAAGGTTTTGGGGTGCCAGGAAGGTTTGGGGGGTGGTGTTGGTATAAATCGTGGGCGGGAAAGTATAACAGTTTAACATGAAGCAAACAAGTAGTCGTTTAGAGCTTGGAGTCATGGGTGATACATGTGATGCAGACACAGCAAACCTGATGAATCGTTACTTTGTTTATTACCTCAAATACTACCCGACCCAGAAAACGATTTGTCAAACCCAATGTTCCACCACCCCTCACCCCTCGAACTCCAGCAACTGCCCCCTACCCACGGCTTTTCTTCATGCTTTTATGCATGCTTTGCATCGTCGCCCAGTCCGTGGTCCACACGTGCCCGCTCCATCGCTAGGCCCGTGCAGTGCGCGTGCTCCGGGTGGTGCGAGTGGTTCGCTTGATCCGGCTCGCCCGCTTCGTGAAGACCGTGCAGAAGGCGCGCGTTTGGGGACCGGTCGGACCGGGGCGACCGAAGGGCCGAGCAGTGGAGGCATCTGAGGGATTGGGCCCCCATCAGGTTGAGCTGATCTTCCCTGGATGTTCTCTTCTCGATCGAAGGGTGTCTCATGGAGATGGGGCCGCCAAATAATGCCCAAGTGATGGGGAACCCCTGCACTGTACGGACTCGCCATGCAGAGGTTGTCACGCACTGGCTGGGGGGGGTCAGGAGTTGTGGGTCGCAAGGTGAGTCTTCTTGGATGATGTGGGGAGAGAACTAGCAGAAGTGGAATGAAGCAAATGCAGCTGTTAAAGCGAAGTGGATAGTGGCCGCCGTGATAGGGGAAGCAAAACCACCAAGTAGAGGGCCACCAGCATAAACATCTGTGGTGGATTATCGAAATTGTCAGCTCAGAATCGTTAGCTTGACTTACCTACCTTAAGCTAGGAGAATATCAGGTCGAATGATAGGACCCATGGCAGCGACCACAACTCGTTGCCCCGCCCAGTTCACAGAGATGACGGGATCCCTTCGCTTGCTGATCCTTTTCAACGTCGGGAACCTCGGAGAGAGTGAGGACGGTTTGGAGCACAGAGGGTCCAGCGGGGTTGGGCCAGGAAGAGGATAATGGACATAATGCATTCATACTGCATAATGCAGCAATATCAGTGCATGTTTTTTGCCTGGTTACCACTGGCTGTTGGACAACATAATTGTAGGTTTTGGAGTGTTTCTTTTTATGTCTTGTTGATTATCAGTCATCCAAAGAGGGTTCGAATACGTTTTGGCAGAGAGACTGCTGTAGGCTGAGTGTATTCTCCCCATTGCGTCACCTTCTAGTAGGCCAACGTTGCTCTCAAATACCTGTTTGTCAAGCTGTGAAGCTGTGAAAGCTGTGAGGGACCCGGATAACATAGTTGACTAGTCCCTAAACGGACATTGGAATGGAGGCGTCAGCTCATCATTCATACGAGCCTCGAGCTAGCTTTTGAGTGGTATAGGGTCGACTCAGGACAATTCCCCCAGTGAAGACTCTCGCACCCTAATTCGCACCAAGGAAAACAGCAATGTCTAATCTGGAATTTCCAGTTTGAGATCTCTTTCAAACTCTACAAGACGATTTCAAACAAATAGAGCTCTCTATAGGAATCCTTCTCACCGTCCTTCTTCCGTCGTCCTCCCGCCCGGCGCTAACCGGCCAAAGACCCAGGTCCTGAAGCTGACCCTCTTCCTGCTCCTGGCCGCCTGGTCGTTTTCGGGGAAGTCGGCGAGATGCGAGCGGGCGGTGCGGGTCCAGGCGAAGGGAGCGGTTATTGCCATGTGTGTTTTGGGTGTGCGTTGTTCTTTTGCTGAACGGTTTTCTTGAGGAAAAGCTAGAATTTAGGACATTCTGGACTACCGGACTACGAAACTTTTCTTGCAAGTTGTTTTTTGTTCTGAGGAAGAGGGGGAGTGGTCGTTTCTTGCCCCAACAAACAAATCTGGCTTTATTTCCAAGAGGTAGCTAAGGGGTTGGGCTCAATTTGTTGGGTTGCTCCAAGAATGGCTTTGGATCAAAACCGGGGAGAATAGACTACCAGACACGGTCAACTTACCGTGTAGAGCTGCCATGGTTCTACTCCTTGAAACATCGAAACACCCTCCTTGCAGGGAGTCGCCTGGCAGCAAGCAGTGCCTCCTGAGTCTCCAAGTGGACCAGTGGCCGAGATATTCATCATTCATTTGTTGTGCCCCATGGGACTTCTATATCCATATGACATCATATGACCATTTCAAAATGGACTTCACATATTGATTCTATATGACCATTTGACTTCTTATAGACTTTATATCTTGACACTTCATGTGCTGCTTCCGGTGGTTTGTTTCGGGTGGATTTCAATGGTTTTGTTTGCTGCTCACATTGCGTCAGCATACGCGTCAGAGGCCGTGCACGTGATTTTGTGTGGCTGGCACTTCGTGGGTCTCTACACTGAAGGAGGACCCTCATGTTCGGGTGTGAGTGGGTGACGAGTGGGGATGATTGCTAACTATCGAAGTGAGGAATCGAATGGGATCAAGGCATCGTGTTCTACACTCCAAACTGGCACCCTCAAAGACTGTGTTCTTCTAGCTGCACCAGTGGGTTTTCAGGGTCTATGTTAGTTTTTAGCGTTCTAATTGATGTCATCTGTTTGTGTAGATTTGGGTTCATGTCACCGTGATACCGTTGTTTCTGTTTTTTGCGAGGCCTGACATTCGTTTGTGATTGTCATGTCAACTTCTTGGGGAGAGCAGAAGCTTGTGCTTGGGGTTTGTACCAAAGAACAAGAAGAGGGGGCAAAGAACAGCAGCCCTGTCCTCCAAGTGAATCTTACTTTGCCAGAAGCTATGTGGGTTCTTTGCTGCTGCGGTGGGTTCTCAATCCGCTCAACACAGCGGGAGCGGGCGTGGATTTGCTGGTTCAGTTCATGTTGATGGTTAATTTTGAGATGTAAAGTCATGCGTTCAGTGGTAGTGAACTCTCCAAATTTTGACAACGCCTCTGGTCCAGGCTGGATCGATAAGGAGGGCTATGCAAACGAGACGGTGGTGGTCAGGCCGGGTGTTCGCAAGAACACCGAGAGTCTTGGGTGGCCGCGAGAGCAGGTAGAAGAAGATTTGGGATGCCAACTTCACATCATCCTTACAACTTCACCAATGCCAAGACACACATTTAGTTGCATCACTGCAAGATGACCACATAGTCTTACCTAATTATAACTTTAACATCCTATAACCTTATATAATAACCGATATACAAAAAAAACTGACCCCCAAAAAGCAACCTAATGGACTGTTACCAGCACCCTCCAACAGGTCACCACCTGCGACTTTTAAGTCAGCAAAAGCCTCCAGAGGAGACCTGTTGGAGGGTGCTGGTAGATATATATTATACAAAACCAACCCCCCTCCCACAGAGCTCGGCATCACTTGTCATCCCATTTGCGCTCACCGTGCGCCTCACCGTGGGCTCACTGTGCGGTTTCACTGTGCTGGTCACGAGTGCGCTGGAACGACAGGTACGTGGCCGCTGCCCGTTGGACCTTATCACAGCTGAATGGCCGCACGGACCGACAGGACGGCGGGCGCCGGTGTCGGTGTCGCTCTTGGGTCGAAGAGTGGGAAGATGAGCGGGTCAAGAGGTAAACCAAGGGAAAGCGAGGTGATGGGTATGGCCTGGCAGAGTCTATAGTGAAAAAAAAACAACAACTAAACCTACTTCACGCAGCAAGAACCTTTTGTGCTCTGACTGTAGATATTCTTTGAAAAAATAAACTCAGAATAAAAATCACTGGTCGTGAGAGATGTGGGGGGTTGCCGAAAATCATTTGACTTAAGATTGGATACATTTTACGATGGACAGTAGGACTTCAATCAGTCCTGATGCGAAAAGACTCTGATATATGTGGAAGTCATCAGGATTGGATCTATGATTGATATATGATGATCTATGGTGGATTACTGTAGGGATCCAATCCTGGTTATGATTAAGTCCTGATTGATATCCTGGTGGATTGGACTTGGAAGTCTTGCTTTACTGTAGGTCCTGGACTTGGATGCTTCTCGGGGCAACTCCAGGACCGGACCTTCACGGAGATGCTCTACGTCGCCTTCACGGCGCGGGTCACCGTTGCGCCACCAGGGTCCAGGGAACAAGAGCGGGTTCAGCTTGTAGAAGACGATGCTTGGCCTACTTGGGGAGGCCTTAAGTTCATTAATATATTAACATTAAACACATTAAACACACATGTTAAAACAATTACAGACATGGCTGCCATGGCTTCGTCTTTTTTTGCATTAGTCCGTTACCAGGGAGTAGCTTTGTGTTGATGTTTTGAGCTTGGGATATTCAGTTCAAATTGCAGCAACAGCATTGGAGATGCACCACACATCATGAGATGTTTCAAGCCAACATGCAAATCGTGTTGCCAGTCATGTTGCCAAACACAACCATCCAAACTTTGAGAGCCATCCCCAGCATCAACCCATAGTACCTCCAATCCACCTTGCTCCACCACAAACAAAAAAAACAACAAGACAAAAAGCACTAACACAAACACTCGACTAGTCCGCCAAAAACAGACACCGAGCACCGAAAAGAAAAAACACTCGTACGCACACCAACGCGCACCAACACATCGACCACGAAAGACGTGGTCCGTCGTAGGCGTGCTTCACCTTGATCTTCATGTCCATCTTCGTCTCCAGCCTTACGTCTCGGATGCTTCAGCTCCAGCAGCTCATGGACAAGGAATCAGGTCGCTCGGCGGCGGTGAACGGCCCGCCGGTTCGGGCGAGACCGAGGTGGTTCGGCCCGGTGAACGGGCGTGTTTTGTTTGGGCAAAGCGGAGAGAGGACGTGCGAGAAAGCATTGGAGTCCGAATTTGAGGACGTGGCCGTTCAACGATGAGACAAAGCATTTGGAAAAAAGAGTCCAAAAAGTAAGATGTCTCTTGATAAAAGGAGAGTCAAGATGAGTCAAGGTAATAACGTAATAAGAAGGAGTGTTTCCACCAATACGGTGGACCAAAATATGGATAGTCTTGACAGCCCCCCCCAAAGAAATGAAGACCAATAGTCATGTCACATCATGCGCACCGATGAATCAGAGCACAGATCTAAGGGGCTTTAGAGCGAGAATTGGGAGAGTGCCCCTGCTGAGGTTACAAGCGCTTGCTGCAGAGATACAATGAGATGCCACTCGTCAAGCGAAGGACATGTACTGTACCGATAGGTCATTGGTTAGGTCATTGATGTGCAATAGTTAGTGGTGTAGATGATTTGTAGATGGTATTTATCAATAACATTTAACAACCAGAATGGTAGGGTCATTTGTAGGGACTAGTAGTCTCTTCTTACCTTTGTGTGACACCATTTTTGCAAGACAATTGGGACTTACATAAGGAGTTTAAGATAGTTTAAGGTGTTCTTGATGATCCATTTAGTAGTTGCATCCCTACGGGAACAATGTTACAATCTTCATCAATTGAACACCCTAATACCCTATAAAATCACTGGCACCCGGCTCTCCAGCCCAGGCACTCCTTGTCCTACACCACCGTCTACCTGGCCAAGCGCCACATTCAGGACTTGCCGAGACCCGGTTGCATGTTGGGAAGAAGAACGCAAGACATCCCTTTGCTGAATTTCCAGGCGAGTCGATCCCCGATTCTCGAGCATGTCGTCTCACTGTGCCTCGTCGAATGGGGGGCGGATGGCTGAGCGGCGGACGATAAGGGTCAGCGAGCTGAATGGGGCGAAGGACGGGGTCCACCGGCCCCACCCCGCAGCACGTGGCACGGCTGGTTCGCCCGGTAAACGCCCAGGGCCAGGTTCTGTATGTTCCTTAGATCTACCATGTGGCCCTTACTGACCCTGTATTCTTTACCTATACTATATTGTTTGCCTAATAATTATGGTAGATCTAAGGAACATACAAAAATGTTCAATATGATTTTTACATTGTTTGCCTCAAGCGTAAAGCTGTTTTGTCGCTCATGTTGCGGGAACACCTGTTTCCACATCACTTCACTGATACGCCACCCCCACTGCCTGGGCCACTTTCGTCGTCGCGTTTCGCAGGACCGCATGACGCTGGAGAGTGACATGGACACCGAGAAGGAACTCCTACGGCTCCTGCCGGTGCAGACGCAAGCCTTGCCGGCGACCGTTGTCCGCGGTCGCCCGCGTGCGGTGCCGCAATCGGAGGAGATGGAAGACCTAAGACCTACCTGGACCTGAAAAAGGGGTGTCCAATAAAAATGCCCTAAGTAGTGGGCTGAGGCGAAACCAGGTGACCCCGCAAGGAAGGTGCTGGTAGTTTCTGTATAGGATTTGCGTGGCGGAGAAAGCAGAACTTGGCCGCGCGGAGTAGTTATTGGATGCTGGTGACAATGGAAGAGCTATTTGTACAGATGTGTCCGTGTTCACTATATACCTATTTGACCTGCTTTCTTCCGGTGTAGATTTCGCCTGTAGAATCCGTTGACAGATGTGAGTGAATCTCAAAGGTAACCGAGACACCGAGTTCGGCCAAACTTCCGATGAACAGCGGTTTCCTTGTTTGGAGGTTCTGCAGCTGGATGGCCTTGGCTGAAGGCAAATCAGATGTTCGGAACATGATTGAACATCAATTTGACCATCATGTTCAATACGACATTCATGTTAAATCATGTGCAATCAGGCAGAACAACCAATTGTCCAGAGCTTGTTCTGATTGGAACAGCTCAAGGCAGATCACATATGGCAAACTCCTAGCTTTCATGCATTGTTCTCGAAGGAGTCAGTTGTCATTGATACCGTATGACCTCCTTCTCCTGTCAGACTCACTTGCAAACATATAACTACTTGCACTACCTGCAATCACTTTTCATCCACAGCTTTTGTGTCGACGTGGGTATCACCATGTCGTCTTCCAAGCCGAGCTTAAAGAGTGTCTCATCGGCATTCATCTGCGCTGCACTTTGTAAAACCAGAAAGCAGTAGTGCCATAGTAAGAAAGACCACTTGGTGACTTGGTACTGTAGATAGGAGACTTTAGCAGAGAGCCACGTGTACCACATGTACCAGCACGGATGGTTGCCATCCTGGTGGATTGGACCATTTAAGGAACCTGGACCGTGAAGATCCATGAAGCTACCTTTTGGACCCAATCTATTTGCAACGGTTTTCGGTTTCGTGCTCTTTTTTGTACTGTATGTGTTTCTTTTGTTTTCCAAAGGAGGCTCAAAGAAAAACACTCATGTTCAGTATTGGCAGACTTCACTATTGACAGTGACAGTCACTTTTCCAGTTTGGATGCTGATCAAATGGGGCTCCTTCATTGGCTGTCACTTATGACAGTAAGTACAGCCAGCACGAAGCACCCCTCCAGATCAAAAAAACACCTGAGGCTTGCTGCGGAAGGGAGATCTACTCGTGGCTCCCGGCGTCTTTGTACCTTGACCGATCTGTTGAACGATACACTCATATATAAACGTTACTGTGAGGCTTGTTCTCGGATTCGAGTGACTTAGCTTTTGAGAACCCAGGAGAAAGTGAGATACCGGATGATACCAACGTCCCAACGTGATCGATGTTTGTTTGCGTCAGAGATACTGTGAGGGTAGTGGCGTCACAGTGGTGGCGGTGTTTCTTCCAAAAGGATATAGGATCCAGAGGAGACACCTCGAGATGGTTTTGATACTGAGATCCAGTGACTTCTGACGCCGCTGTAGTTCCACCATGTGGAATCCACCATAAACATCAACATCTATCCGCACATCTATCAAGATACTATCAACTCTGATTATGTTTCATGTTTTGACAGGATCCAGCAATATCCTATACTTTGAAGAGGTTAGGCTACTAGCTAGACCAATGGCTTGAGAAGTGCAAAAAGTATGTGGAAGAGGTAGGTGTGACTGTACCTCTCTGAAGGTCCTTAATTATGTCACTGCCTGCGCCAAGGATGGCATCTCCACTCGCTTGGCAGAGCAGGCGGGAGTGCGAAGGAATGGGATTGGTGGGATGAATGCATGTGGATTCTGAGAAGCTTTTTGTGATTGTGGAACATGGAAAAGTGAGCTGTGGATGGTGCTAACACTTATGTTAAATATGATCTAAAGCCAGGTATTTCGGTTTGGGGCTCGAGGTATTTCAGTTGGAAGATGCTGGGAGTGTGTTTCATCAATTTTTGCCAGTTCCCTTTGCTCTTGCCCACAGTTCCAGTACACCAGCGACACATGTGTAGGTTGGCTTCAAAGCCCTCTACATGACGGGCGACTTGGCAGGACGTAGCTGCTCCATCCCCCCCGCGCGGGCGGTCGGCGGGATGGGGCAGTCGCTTTGCTTTGGTCCAATGCTTGGTTTTGTGGATCAGGTGATTTTGACCAAAACCCTATGGTGAAATCCGGATGTTTTAAACACCCAACCCCTACGGTCAGGGGATTTGGACCAAAACCAGGTGATGTTTGGTATTTTCCCTATGGTTAAATCCCTTGGTTTTGGGAGCTGCGGATGGGTCCGAAGAGTATGGCGAGCATGTTCAAATCCAGAGAAGTAGATTTGCACATGCTTATACATACCAGGACCTTCCCAGCGACCTTTTGAGATCCCAGAATGAGGTCACTGGGAAGGTCCTGGTAGTTGGTGTTAGTGTTAGTTCTTGCCATAGGGTTGAAGTTTGGGAGTCAAACGTGTCAAGAGCTTTTGCAACTTCAAAAAGAGGTTGCGCACTGAAGGGTGAATTGATGGTTTGACTCCGGGTTTTTCATGTGATTTGGAGGTCCCTGAGTGTGGGTCACAAGAGTCACAAGAGGCTTCACGGGTGGGTCGAAGGAACGTCATGAACAAATCATGAACATCCATGCGGCTGTTGCTGTTCAACAACAGTTGGTCGGCGATTTGTGATTTGTTCAAGAAATGACATGCGCCATGTTCGGGAAAAGGAGCTTCATGTCCCCTACCAGGGGCTTCATTTGAGATTTGGGTAACCCATCAAAAAGCTCCAACATCATGTTCAGGCCGGTCGCCAGATATCTCCAACGTCGGCGACGAAACGCCACGACTCTCCACACTCGACTGAAGGCTTTGGCACGGTGGGGTCGCACTTGGGCCTCCCAGATGCCGGCCTTGCCAGCTACCGGGATATGGTGGAACGCGCCGCTGGGATGATGTGTAGACTGGCGTACCGGTCAACTTGGGGGGAGAATTGGTGACGGTTCAGAACTGTTCAGAAACCAAACATAATTGGTGTGACTGAAGTATCGCTTCTGAATGATGCCCGGGCCAAATGAAGCCAGGTGGAAAATAGCCTTCATCAGTTGGACCAAGTCACCAGAATCAAGCAACAGCAAGCAAGAATGAATGGGACGAGACATGCAAAGCAACTTGTGCCGCCAGTGCTCAATGGTTTTGCTCACAGGGCCTCATTCTTCCCTTACTCCCCGCTTCTGCTGGCAATACCATGTTCTTGCGCTTCAGGGGCTGCGCGTAACCATGTGGACCAAACAAGTTTCTGAAGCTCCCAATCCTATCCCTCTCCAAATGACCCACATGCCCCCCCCGACGCCCAACACTAACAGCCGCCACATCATCTTCACCCACCGCCGACCAACTCCTGCGGAGCCGCCGACCAACGCGCTCCCCAGGTCCGCACGCTGAGCGCTTTGACCTCGGCGCCCCTGATCTGCGACGGCGACACGGGCTTCGGCGGCCTGCTGAATGCACCTCGGAGGGCTGTAGTCCCAGCCCATCCAACGGTGGGTTGTGCAGGTTGATTGGAAGACATTGGGTAGGTGTCCAACCGCTAGTATGTGGATCACAGCGGGGTGCTGAAGTTTGAAGCCTGTTGCTGGCATTCTTGGAGAGGGCGGACAGTTCAGCACTGCGATTCAGGATTTGTACCCCAAGTTTGGATGCTAAAAATCAATTCAGTCTTCAGTGGCTCATGAACTTTGTTTGTGGTTTCTGCATGCCCTTGTCCATCTTGTCCCCCAGCCCAGCGGTCCATATGTGCAGACCATCGTCCGCCTCTTTCCCACCCAACAGAGTCTGTAGGAACCCGCCCTCCCGCTGCTCAGGTTGACCACACGGTCAAGGGCTACGCACCTTGTCTAGTGTTGGAACTTGCTGGTTTCACGTACGTGGGCTGGCATGCACGTGGGTTTGAGATGGTTTCTCTGCACTTAGAAAATCAGTACTATAATCCTTCAGTGTGTTGCTGAACATCAGGTGAGGGATTTTGGCCGAGTCAATCTCATAGATTCTTTGAGTTGAAGTTTTCCCCCCCATATGCGACGATCAATGAATCCGCTAAGAGCCTTTCTGCAGCTCAACGGGCGCAAAACACACCGGAGCACTGGAGCCCTCAATGCTTTCCTCGCTTTAGCATCAAGTTCTTCAGGACGAGAGAGCATTCGGGTTCAAGAATAGCTGAAGGCATCAGTGCGAAGAGAGCAACTGTCTGTAGGAACATGGCGTGGTTCATGGCACCAGGATACCTTTGGTTGACCCACCTGGAAGGTCAGGTTACATGGTGGAACCAGGGCTCCATGTTTTGACCCATCCCCACATGTCAAGACGTCAAGACGTTGTCCCATTTTGTCGTGTGTGTGTGTGTGGCATGGTTCCATCAAGTTGTGCCGAATGCGGATTCAATATGGTTCAGTCATCAAACAAGTTAATGACACCCAGGAAGAATATTATTTAGATCAATGACATGGAATCTGAAATTGGACCTTTCGAAGGCTAGCTTCCTCCACAGATACGTGGTTTTTAGATGTTTTTTAGGTTCCATGTGGGTCTCGGAACACAGGGCGTAACAAGTTGAGTTCCGTTTGATGCTGTGTTTGATTGACATTGGAATCCATGCAGAACATCCAGTCCTTTCTGAAGCCATCCAAGAAAGCTTCTTTTTGATGTTCTTCCAAAATCTGAGGAAGCTGCTGGGGCCAGTGCCATTCAGTTGGAGGCTGTCTGGCCAAGGGGCTTTAAATGTGGAAGTCTTGGCGATGCAAGTGGCGATGTCGGATCTCTCTGATTTGCGATTGTTGCACAGACTCTGGGCACCCAATGTGGCAAGGTTTCATGGAACAATCTTCTACTTTGATTCTACAATGGCTAGGTCAGCAGTACCTGCCTCCACTGCCTGAATTGGCCAATGTTTTCCCAGATACGAATTTGGGGAGGGGTGCAGTCGCATCCATCCTCTCATCGTTTCCAAGCACTGCCAACCAGGGATCTGGTGTGTCCGCTCACCGGCAGGATCAGGAGTTTCCCAAGAAGTGCGGCCACACACCGAACCGCAAGGCGAGGTGCGGACGTGGAGTCTGCGCCGCCGGGCTCGGGCTTTGGATCGGCAAACCCGCCGCGGCCGGGGTGTTCCTGCAGCTCCTTTGAAGGTCTGAATGGCAATGATGAAGCAAAAACCAAGGGCTCAAGGCTCAAGGGGCTTGAACGCATGGGACGAGAGAGTAGCTTAGCTCAATGGCTGGGGCGGGGAAATTAAACAAATAGAAATTGCCCTTTGAGTTGGACTGTAGTTTCAAGGCCTACACAAAGAACAAATGAAGTCTTGGGACATCTTCAGACTCATTTAAAAGCTGTTTCACTATAGAGGCCCCTTGTTTGTCTCAACGTATAAGCCATACTCAATCCTTGTATAGACCAGATTCAGGCACATCCCTTTGTTTTAGCTAAAGAGGACCATCTACCAAATCTTCAGGTCAAGATTCCGTGTTTCATTTTTTGGACCTTCCAATGCCCCAGTCCTTTCTCCCGGTATTTGGGTCGAAGCAGATCGAAGCTCTCAGCTCTTGGCAGGTGATTCCCTTCGAGCAGGCCGTCGCCAAGATCCGGGTGGCCGTGGAGGCGCATTGACCCGGTCTGAGCGTGGCCTGGACGGGACGGGACGGAATTTTGGGGTGAGTGGTCTCCCCGGGTGGGGGAGGGTGGAAAGAGAAGGAAGCACATATTGTATGGCCAATATTGCCATGTGACATTGGTCTGTGAAGAAGATACATATTAATTATTGCCGCTTTGTGGGTTTTCTTCTAAGACATGTTCTCTATCAAAAAGACTCAACCCAGGCCAGAGTATTTTCATTTATAGATCAGTTAGATCCTAAAGGACCATTCCAAACAACATGTAGCAACTCTTTGTTCCAAACAAATCGTCTTCCAATCAGCCAAACGCATTCTCCCTCCCCCGTCGCCGCTCCGGCGCGCCAGGCGCGCAGCTCGCCGGACTTCCTCATCATCGCGCGCACCGACGCGCGCACCGCCCTGGGCCGCTGGGGCCGGCGCTGGAGCGATCGGGACTGGTGGCCAGAAGGGGAAAAAGGATGGAAGAGGTATACCGGTGAGTGGAGGACGTTTAGGCCATCGTTTAGGCTTCAAAATGCTTAAAAGCTCCTTGACCATAAGCGATATGGGCTGTGATTGGCTGTAGGTCATGGCGTTGAACTCGCTTGCTATGGACCACAGCTCCGGTCACGACCCATCCACACATGTCACAACCCTCACCTCTTCCAAAGCAGATAGACCATTGGCAAATGGACTTCCCTGGTGGAGGAATCTGTTGTAGCAGGCAATACTTAACTGTTGTTTTTTCAAGGACAGGGGGGCTGTTTGAGCTGACTGACTGGCCACAGGAATCGAGAAACCTGCCACCTCCTGCCACCTCCGCAAGGGCCATCTTTGTACAAAAGCCCAAGTCTATGAAATTCCACTCACTGTAATCCAAATCGATGATCATTTGCCTATCATAACTGGATTCCTGAGCGATCCTACTCAATTCTCCACTCCACTCCGACCATCCACATATGACCCATTCACCGATCAGATTGAGGTGGTTTAATAACGATATACAATAATAATGGTATAGTTAATGTTTCTTTTGTTTAAATGGTATATGTGGTGCTTATTGGTATAATGGTCAATGTATCGGTCTCAATAATATGAAGTCAAACATTTCATACGCTGACCCCACTGGCCATCAAACAGATGGTCAGGAACGACCCCCCGCTGGCCACCGCCCGAGGCCTCGACGAGGCGCTGCGCCGGGCGAAGGCCTTCGCCGCGGCGGGCGCCGATGTGCTCTTCGTCGAGGCACCCGAGTCCGAGGCGCCGATGGTGGAGGGGGGAAAGGCCAACTGATCAGTTGAACCGCAGAAGACTCAAATGCTTTATGAGCGTGGTGGCCCATCCTTAGATAGGAAGAGTAGGGACTGAGGACTGGTGGATCCTTCTTCACCCGCTTAGGAAGATGGACGTAGTATCGACATGGACATGGACTTCCCTTTTTGTTGGACAGGGACAACATGAAACATGGAAGACTATATAGAATGTAAGATAGACGTGGTCATCGTCCGATGGACAAAAACATATTTGGACATGGAAGACATGCAACATGGAATGACTATAGATGGGCATGCGACTCGTATACCTTCATTTTTTTTTGCTGGTGCTCTAGTTTTCATGAACATCGCTTCAAAGCCACCATGACGAAGCCCTTTCACCCGCACCGAGGCGGAAATGCAGACGATCTGCAGCTCTTTGGCGGAGACAGGGAAGCCCTTGCTGGTGAACTGCGTCGAAGGCGCGGTGCGAGCAGGAAGTGATTTGTGAGTGATGGGCCGGTGAGTGATGTCAACAGGAAGTTGTGGTCAATGTTTACAGAAGTTGTTGACATTGTTGTTTGTGTGATCAATGCCATCAACAGAAGTTGTGCGTCAGAAGTATGTTAATTCCAATTGCTTGTTGATGCTCTTTGCAGATTAATATATAGTAATACATTTTGAGACATGCCCCACTGGCCATTTCTTAGTGCACTGTCAATCCAAATTATGATTGTTTGCCTTTTTGCCAAAATCATGTGGAATGTTGCGATGATCATTTGACCTCAAAGGGTTTGATTAATTTGTCGGCTGAGTTGCTTAGTGCTTTGTGTTGCATCGTTTTGGCTAGATGTTGTCTTTAGTTAACCAGCCTACGGTGACTTCTGATCTGAAGCTTTGAAGCCACCTGAGGTGGCAAGACGCCCCTCTTGAGCAAAGAACGCTACATCGAGCAGCTGGGCCTTCAACCAGTGAGTGCTCGGGAAAGGACCGAATGGTTGCTCAAGATGGACCTGGAACCCAGGCATCACCCCTGTTTAGATAGGAAGTTGGACCATCATTTTGGGTGGTTTCCCAAATAGAGGTCATTCAGGTTCTAGGGACTTCATTGCTGTTGATTTGAAAGTTCCATGAGAGACTTAACACATCTAAGACTTGACCTGGCTCATCACCCTCCAGAGATCTTCGAGTTCATAACAGCACCTGGCTCCGCCGCCCCGAGCTCTGCTTCGTGCCTTCTCCGGTCTCGACGCCCCCTGAGGCTGGGCTATCAGTTGGCCATCTATCCAGCCACTGGGTTCCTTGCTATGGGCCAGGCACTCACGAAGGTCTATCGCAGCCTGAGTGACCATGGCGCCTTGGGTAGTTGAATGGGAAAGCGGATTGGTGATGACTTGGGTGAACGGAGCTGAATAAGAGGGCCTTTTGCGGGCTTATGCCATTCACAGTGCTGGCTGGTTGAATGTAAGGCTGCTGGGAGATCCAAATACAACCAATTGCAGCAAGATTCAAGAACAACAATCATGAGACGCACTTCAAAAGAAGAACACCTGCCAAGCACACATTCCCAAGCTGCTCCAAACCCTCTACATCCAAAATTCCCAAGCTGCTCCCACTCGTGGCGTCCACGTTGCATCAGCCGCCAGCGCCGCGACGACGCGGCCACGTTCTCAGGAGACTCGGGCACAGTGAGGAGCGACTTGACGGATTTCAAGGGCTTTTGCGTGTCCATGGGCTTCCAACAGGTCTGGGACTTTGAGCCTTGGCATCAGTAGTCAGATGTTTTTCTTTTTTGTGATGGTTGTCGAAGTTGGCGACGGCGTGTGATGGTGTCACTATGTGTCACTGGACACCTTGCCCCCTTGTTGCCCCCACACATTGCCCTGCCCCCTTGTTACTTCTACCTTGCCCCCTCATTGCCCCCACACTGCCCCCTTGTCACTTCCACCTTGCCCCATCGTTGCCCCCACACTGCCCCCTTGTCACTTCCACCTTGCGCCCTCATTGCCCCCACACTGCC